AAGTTTCTGGATACAAAAAGAGGAACTCTTTAACCGGATATCCATGATCCACGTAATCAGCTGTAATTGTCACCAAATTATAACTTCCTTTACACCTGAAGGCTTCCCACTGCGGAAACGCCCCCCCCCCCGCTTTGTTCTGTCTTTGTTACAGCCGTATGGTCCTTAGTTTCCCAAGTGCTTGGATTACTACTCCACTCATTATTGCACTCTCCACTATCCTGACTCGCCTGGCTCCGATCCTCGCTCCCGAGTGTGGTATTGTCCCAGTCATGAGCCTCTGTACTTCCCGATCCTTCCTCTGGTCTTGTCAATTCCTGATCTTCTTCCCCTGAGCTTGTAAGCCCTGCTCCTCACAGGCTTACACAAACCTGTCACAAGATTACATGAGCCATTTCCACTTGTATTTAGTCTCATCTATCCCCTTTACCTAGACAGCAGAGATCTTTCTCTCCTGTCTAGGTAAGTACCTTATTGTTTCTCCTTCTCTTCTCCTTTTCATTTCCTCACCTTTCTTCACTTGTAGATACTAACGAGAGATCTTTCTCTCCTGTCTAGACTGAAATAAAAGACACGTTGGTACTAGAATCTTCTCCGTGGACGCTATTGAGCTCCTTTTCTAGTGCCTCTCCGACAGACAGTGAAGGACTCGACAGAGTCCTTACACTTTTTTTTTCTAGTTCCAAAGAAAAACTGATTGAAATTTTAAAAGGAAATTTCTTCATCCATCGACATTACTTATCCAACTTACTTCCAATTGACCTCTCCGACATTACTAAATCTCCTGAATATCAACCCACCCAACTATCCATCTCTTCTGCCTGCTCGGTCCTAGTCCCAGAAACAGGCCTAGATTGAAATTATCAACCTTTGATCTCGAACGACTTCTCCGATTTCATTACATGCCACGTTCCCACACCAAACGAAATCTCATGCCAGGAAAGATGAACCAAACGTGGCCGCAACAACCTTTTTTCCAGACAGAGAACGGCTACAATACTCGTATCCGATACCTGGAGGAGGTCGTCCACCTTCTAATCGCTAGAACAAACTTGGTTCCGCCATCCCCTATCTCCTCGCCTCCACTATCCAGCTCATTCCGATACTCAACAGAGCGGGGCCTTATTCCGTTGTTATCGAAAGGAACAGCAGAGTCGTTGGAAATTGCTTCGCGCAGCGACCGGACTTATTATTTTAATCCTTCACCACACACTCGATCTCCCACCGCGCATCTTATTTCAGCTCGTCTCTTCAAGCCACGCCCGCGAAGTTGTCCGATTGTCACCCGCGGTAAATCTCCGCTCTCGGTCCTCTCCAAAGACGAGAACGCAACCAGAGATCCCAAGTCCGCTCGGCCAGCGATCTTGACCGCGCCACCTCCAGTACTCAACAAGTTTGGAAGCTCGGCGACTGGCCCCGACCACTGGTCAAGCTCCAACATGCGTTTAACCTGCAGCTCGCGGCCGCCTTCTTGTGCATCCGTCACAGGCCTCTCAAGTCAAAACCCCGACGTTTGGACCTTCCTCTGTACTGCAAGCAAACAACTCTCCTCTCCCGATCGCGCTCGTTAGACCGATTTCCACCCACTGCTTGCGCCAAGGTTCCCAAAGCGGAATACGCTTTCCGTCACCCAAATCTCCGTCTTCTGTTATCGCGATCACCACTGAATCTCCAGCTAGTACTTCTACTGACGCGGCCTTTGCTAGCAAGATCGCTGTGACAGCTCAAGATCCAACTGCGATCTCACCCTTGCTGGATCCTTCTGCTCAAACTGCCAAACTGCCCACCTCCGGCTCCGACCCGGCTACCTCCCCAACCTCTTCACACTCTAAAAACAATCTTTCTCCTCGTCCGTCCACACCAGACACAACCAACACCTCAGATCATGATCCTATCAGTGTGATTGTTATCAAAGCAGACAATCCGCTACCGACTTCCTTCCTTACTAATCACATTGCTTGTACTGCTGCAACTGCCACTCAGATGTCGCTGACCCCCAATCAAACAATGGCAAACACCCTTCCATCCACTCTCTCTAGTTCAGACTGCACTCCCACCAAGCAATGTCCTAAATCTGAAAATATATTGAGCAGTATAGTCACACCACCAGAACTTGCAGCTGCTCCCTTGGCCCCACCTGAATCTTTTGAATCAAAATCTGTTTTATCATCCACTACTAATTGTAGCTCATCCCTGATCTGCCCAACTGCCCAAAACTGCCTTGAAAACCTTGAGGTAGCTGCAGTCGGAGGCATTGAAATCTTAGATAATGATGACATTGATTCTATAGAAGCCCAAATAGCCCCAGAATATTCACAAGCCACTCTAGATTACTACAATGACATCCAAGAGTACCTCCAACAGGCCAATGCGGATGAGACTGAAACAAAGAAGAAGAGAAAAAAAAAGAAAAAGGCCAACCCAACTTCAACTCCCAACAATCCGGTTTTATTTTATGTTTGATACCATCTATTCACTTCTTTTCTTTCCCCTCTACTCCCTACCTTAAATCTCACCTCCCCCTACTTTTTTCCTTGGCCCAATCATAATCCTGTTTTTTTCTCTCTCTCTCTCTTGACTTCTCCTACTTGTTTTGAAAGCTCCTTTCCACCCTTCTCTCCATTTTTCTTCTCAAATCAGCCACCACTCTCAAATTCTTCTCCACAATTCCAAGCCACTTTCTATTTTTTTTTTCTCTCATTTTCTTACTGTCCTGGTTATTGTTAAATTTCCCCCCTTCTTCACTTTCTTTTATAGGAGGGGAGACTGTAAGCCCTGCTCCTCACAGGCTTACACAAACCTGTCACAAGATTACATAAGCCATTTCCACTTTTATTTAGTCTCATCTATCCCCTTTACCTAGACAGCAGAGATCTTTCTCTCCTGTCTAGGTAAGTACCTTATTGTTTCTCCTTCTCTTCTCCTTTTCATTTCCTCACCTTTCTTCACTTGTAGATACTAACGAGAGATCTTTCTCTCCTGTCTAGACTGAAATAAAAGACACGTTGGTACTAGAATCTTCTCTGTGGACGCTATTGAGCTCCTTTTCTAGTGCCTCTCCGACAGACAGTGAAGGACTCGACAGAGTCCTTACAGAGCTGTCCATGAAATCCGCGTAATTTTTGATAGTCATGCTAAAACATTTGTCAGCTATCCTTCGAGGAGGGGCCATTTCCCAACCTGGAATCTTGGGAGAGCAAATAGGTATGCATAATCTTCCTCCATCCCATAACTCGTAACTCAGTATCTCCCCACGACTCTTTGATAACTCTAGACGTACCTTATGATCTGCTAGGAATGGCCTTCCCAACACTGTGTATACTTTACCTCGAGCAATAAAGAAGTTAGCACCCTTCTGTTCCTCCTCGTCAATACAAAGATGAACACCTTCGGCTAGCCCCACAATGGGTGTTGAATGTCCTCCAATTCCCATGATATTCATACTGATCTCCCGTGCTGGTAACTTCAACTGGATCGCCAAGGTTTCCGGCATAATATTCATTTCTGCTCCCGTATCCACTAACGCTCGGACTTTCTGGCCCGCAATCCAAACCTCAATAAACCCCAAAGGACAGGCATAAGTAAGTGCATTATTACCTAATTTCATACCCTTTTCCCGCGGTTGATGTGGTTCGCTATTGTCAAAGTTCCTATGATCGCACCTTCCTGAGTTCTGACTTCGCTCCCGTGGAATTGAATTGTCTTCTGCTTCTGTCTGTAATTCCTGAAGAAACTTGGGCGCAATTAATAATAATTCTTCCAAGGTAAGTGTGAAACTTTGCTTTAGAAATTTCTTTCTAAGTCCCCCCCCAACTTTAGACTGATCCACGGTTCGGGGAAATACTTCTTTGGATGACTTTTCTTCCATCCTCTTCTCTGGTGTTTGTGACACAGGTTTCTCCGCTTCTGCATTGTCGCCGTCGCTGCTTTCATTGTCCGATTCTCCTTCCATCCATGCTCCCGGATAACTTGGTCGTCTCTTGCGAGTAGTTGCGGGATCTTTATTAGCTTCCTGATTTCCTGGCGGAGTCTTTGAGATGGATTCCTTTGGTTTTCCGGAAGTTTCTGGTTTGGATGCTGGTGGCTGTACTTCCTTCTCCTTGTCTTTGTTGGTTCGAGTGGACCTTTGCAGCCCAAATCCAATCACATTCTCCTCGTCGTCCTCCCCATAGTGCATTTCCGGTGGACTCCATGCTTCCCATCGATTCGTAGAGATCATGGATGCCGTTGGTTCTTGTCTCGGTTGTGAAAACTGATCACTCATCATCAGATTCGCTCGTTTCTCACTGGTTTCCTTGGCTGCATTCGACTTTTCACCAAATTTTCTTACCAATTCTCGAATTGATTCTCCAGTGTCTGTTGGAATGACTTCCCGGTTGGGGTAATAGAAGTTTGGACCTTGCTTGAAAACCAGACGTTTAGTTATATCCTCATTCAAGTGCTGGCAGAACATTGAGGTATGGTCCATCTCCTTGCAATAAAAACATTGCAGCTGTGGTCTTGGAAATGGTGGTCCTCCTGGTCCTGGTGGTCTAAATCCGGCATTTGGTGGTCTTGGCGCTGAAAAGTGAGGTGGAAATGGTCTAGCGTTTTGATTGGTATTTACTTCGGTACGTAGCTTCTTAATTTCCTCCTCTAAAGCCTTCATTTTGTCTATGCTGCTGTCTGACTTTGTCTTAGCTTGAACTTCTCGTTTATTCTCGGATTCCTTGACAGCAGGTTTTGCTTTAGGGATTCCAACATCTAAATCATATACTGATAAAGAGGCTTCCACGTAATCCTTCAATACTTCCAACTTGGGTACCAGCGCCTTTCCATCCTTAGTCTTCTTCAATTTCTTGTCGTGTGCCAACTCCTTCGCCACGTCCCGTCGCATCTCGGTCGAAATCGCCTTCCAAAGTGGTTCGCCACTTGTCGCATTCACGTCCTCGTAATCCATCTTCGTCAAATACGCCAAAATCTCCTCGAGTTCGCCAATAAACGTCCTGTATTCCTCCTTCGTCTGAATCCCGCCTTTGTCCATGTACTTTCTGACCAATGTCGAAACTGAGTTCTCGTTAAATCGCCTAAGAGGTGTCGCTCGTCCCCATTTCCGAATGAGTTCCTTCTTCAAAAGTTCCCAATCCCGATTCTCGTGTCCTTCCATATTCTCAATACACTCGCTAATCTTCTTGTCCTTAATCATGAATGGCAACTGAAGTGCTACGTCCTGTCCGCCCGCTTTGTGCAAGGAAGCTATCTTCTCTACACGTTTGATAAACAATTCCACTTCTGACCCTTCAAAGTCTAAGTTCAACTTCCTTGTGTCTAGAACTACACCCTTTTCTTCGTCAGAGAGCTTGATTTCGGATTTTGTCCTAGTCTGACTGGTTTCTGATGAAGTTACCGCCAGACCTAGTAAACTTTCTTCTCCTGCGCCAATAGTAGTTTCCATTCCCGCCATTCCGGTGTATGGTGTTGAAGTTGCAAATCGTAAAGATTGTCCTCGTGGCGGTGGAGTTTCCGGTATTGGTACGGCCTGTGGTGCTTTGGATTGCTTTAATAGTGCCATCATCATTTCTTTCATCTGTTGCATGGAATCTTCAAGTTCCGTCATCTTGGCTTGCTGTTTTAGCATCATTGCTGATTGCTCCATACTCTGTTCCGCCAAATTTGACATTTTTGATTTTTGATTTAATAATTTGCCAAATTGTTCTTCCAAAAATTTCCGCTCCCTTTCTCTAATCTCCTCGTCAATCCTGGACGTCTTGCTCGAATCCTTTGTCTCGCCAATCAAATCCTTCTTTTCACCAATCGAATCCTTCTTCTCGCCGGTCAAACCCTTTGTCTCGCCAATCAATTCCTTTGTCTCGCCAATTAAATACTTCGCCACTTCAATCGTATCCTTTGTATCGCCAATCAAACGCTCCTTATCGCCGCCAAAATCTGCCTTCTTCCCGTTATCCACGATTGATTTGTTGTTGAGCTTGATTCGCTAGAAAAGTATGATTGATTCGAATGATCTTGATGAAGGTAATCGGCCACTGTTGGGACACCAGATGTAGGACTCCTGGGACGGATAGACACGGTAAAGTATATGTATATCAAAAGATCCCTTGAGGGGGAAATAAATTGCAGATAGGTTGAAAGGCTATTACAACTTACGGGTGGTTTGAAAGACCTGCCCCTCTAAATGTACTAAACAAATAACTAAGAGTCTTGTAATCAATATTTAATAATGTATGGCTGATTCCAAGATAGATCTTACTTTTGTAAAGTAATCTCTATCAGACCTAGATCACGTATCAATCTACTAATGAATCTGTTACAACTTCAGGTTAATAATGGAAACTGTGGTGCTGATGACTTGAGCACGAAACAGATGAGTTGTTATAGAGTTTGTTAATGATCTCTTCCTCGAACAATTTCTTGCTAAGGCACTTTAATCAAAACTAGAGCTCCGGTACTAATACTACTACTACTTGTTATTGGTTAATTGTTAATGTACTACTACTTGTATGATGGCTACTACTACTAATATGCTTCAAATTCCGAACTCTGTGTTGGTTTCACACTTACAATACTGTTATAACTCGCTACGTATCACTAACTAACTCACTACTTAACTTACTAACTTCTTCTGCTACTGGGTGATCGAACTTACTTCCGTAGGTTGATGGGGAGAAGGGACTTTCTGGTGGGGAGAGGCCCTTCTTTTATATTGAAGAGTGAGGGATTTCTGCTGCAGGGGACTCCTTGTGAGGGAATATTGCTGCAGGGGATCTCACCTTCACAGCCTTTGCGCACAGCCTCCAAACAAATAGCGCAGCTTATGCTGTGCTAGGAACACTTAACTCCAGTCCTTGTCACATAATATGCATGCAAGGGAGCACACAAGCGCAGCATGATGTCATGCATTGCCAGGCAACCAAGCCGTCTTCTAGAACATTCTGCATAGGCAGTACCAGCCTGCCAGCCCTGCTGTTATCTCCTTCCACCCAGGATTTGGGGGTCAAAGCCTCTCCTCACTCCTTCCTTCCTCCCTCCGCCTCAATATTTTTCCTCCTTTCACTTTCTACAATCTGTACCCTGTACCCTTACGTAAAACATAAAGTACCCTTATTACACACCGCTCCTCCGTTCCATTCCTGGTCGAGACATGTTCTCCCACTCCTCTCCACGTACATACTTCCGCTCCTCCGTTCCATTCCTGGTTGAGATATGATCTCCCACTCCACTCCTCGTATGCACACCGCTCCTTTGTTCCATTCCTGGTCAAGACATGTTCTCCCAATCCACTCATTGTATGTAATCCTGTCCGTATATACCGCACCTCATCCATAATGATTGTTCCTTGTATTGTAATGATTGTCACACGTATGTAACTATGCTATCCCAACACATTTCCTGTATGCTTAGGCATTGGAACAGGCACAGCACACCACACCGGCCATCGAGACCCAATCTCCGTGACCGGAAGTCCCGGTCGGTATAGGCTCTACAACTCATGGATCGGAAGGATATCCTGGGTCCGGTTGATGAGATGTCAACAGCCCCATTGACCGGAAGGGATTCCTTCCGGTTGATGAGGTGTAACAGCCCCATTGACCGGAAGGAATTCCTTCCGGTCGATGGTGTTGTTGTATCTTATTGACCGGAAGGATTTCCTTCCGGTCATGTGGGAGCGACTCCCAAACCCCCTCAAGCATGAGGGGTGGTTTGGGGATCCGACTCCCAAAAATGCAAAAAAAATATTAAAAAAAATAAAACATCATTGGATGGCCGACTCCCAAAGTCGGCCATCCATTTGGAAAAACGACCCCCATTCGACGTCGGACGACCGTATTTGGGAGTCGGCGACTAAAATTTGGGGGTCGTTTTTCCAACCCCCTAAATAAAAACAACTCAACGCTCTTTGTTCCAGCTCCAATCAATCAACTCTTGGATGGTGTTAGCCCAATTTCGAATCAAACTATGAGGAAGAGGACGACGCAAGTAAGAGATTTAAGAAGCTAGGATCACTGGAAACAAACTGATAGAGACGATACACTATGAGCGTAACAACCTGAAAAGCAGACCGGCATCATTATCCTCACATCTAGAAGCATCAACAAGAAGCTACAAACATCAATGATGAAGAACGAATAACTTACCAGATCAGCATCGGGGCCGGACATCGGATCAACAGGTATGTCAGCTGCACGAGGGGTCTATGTCAAACACAGAAGAATTTGAATCAGTGAACCGGTCGGAGACAGCCAATTAAGAGAAGAAGCATGAACTTACCTCAGCGTCGGGGACGAAGACTGGGCTCCAATCGCCGCGCGCAGGAAAAGAACGACCAGAACTTACATCGTCGACCGGAGTTGGATTCGATATTGCTTAGTAGCCACGAGGTGCAGGGATCTCAACAGGCGATGACATGTTGGAGGTTTTGGACGACATGGTGGTAGTGGTGAAAGAAGAAGATTGACTTGGACAACGACTCGGTGGAAGTGGTGGAAAATGGTGAAGAGGTTGAAAAGCTTGTAGTGGGAGTTAAGCAAGAAGAGTTGGATGAAGAACAGGAGAGAGGAAGAAAGATGGGGGGGTTCTTATAGGAAATCCACTATCCTCAGCAAAGATGGATCCAGGACTTGACCGCGGCAAAATCCACATAACGACGGTGGAACCTTCTCTGCAACAGTCTAAGCTAAGACTCGGAGTTTTTTGGTATTGATCGATTGAATGGAGAAACGAGATTGAACCATCAAAGCCACTGTGCAAGCAAGATCGAGCTAGAAGAAGCAGGATAAACAAATTAGAAGACAGAAGAGACTTACCTAGAGCTACAAGAGCACAACACCGCGAAGACGGGCCTAGTATCGAACGTAGAGCAGAGACTCATAAGTGGGGCTGTTTAGAATCAAGGAGCTGTCAGCTAAACGGAAATTAGTCTAGAGGAAAGGAAGATAAATAGCCTTACCTGTCGAGATGGATTAACAAAGTCGCAGGTCACTCAAGTCGGGTCACTCGAGTCGGGCCAGAATCAAGTCCCAATTTTGAATCGGGCCGGAATCAAACTGCAAGTGAGGCAAGGACTAAATCGAAGTCGAGAAGAATCGTCGGGTCGGTCGAGTCTAATTCAAGATGGCAGACGGATCGAACGAGGTGGCTGCAGAAGCAAGACCCACGGCGAGGTGGATCTACAGCGGAGAGAGGGCCCCATCGCCGATCGGACGGGACCTGTCACATCTATGACAGGACCAACACATCCTGACTACGGCACGAACAACTTCCTTACCAAACCGATTTCACCCCCAACATAAATTCTAGCCCACAAGTGGTGTAAGGGCTCCATCCACACATTCAGAACATGCATAGGTTCAATTCCCACCTTCACCATTATGATTTCACAGCTTCTTGGACCTCTGGACTTCCTTTGTGTTGAGCTCTCAGCAAGATTGTCAGACATCGCAATTTTTTCCCAAGTTTTTTTCCAAACTATATGTACCACCATACAAAAATAAAAATCATTTTTTCTGAGGACTCAAGCCCAAACCCAGTCCTAAATGAAATAAAACAGGATAAAATAAAATGAGACAGAAACACATTTTTTGCTACAATCAAGAAAGGCTCCAGCTGTAAGATTACTCAAAAACTCAGTAAGAACTCCAAAAAAAGATTCACCGCCGGTCAAATCAACAAGTCCTCTGGCCGTGCGCTTCACAAAAACTCGGGGACACAAATTCATTATCAACTCAACACTGCGCAAGCCAATAGAATACACGCAAGGCTGGTTCTCTTTCATTTATTTCATTTTTCTGTAAGATTAGCTCCAAAACACAGTCAAAAATCAGAATTGACTGGGGACAGCCAATAAGTTGGGGGAGGATGTGGTAAATAATACTGTGTTTTTACGCAGAAAATATAAAAATTTATTATTATCTCTTTATATATTATACTTAGGGTAAAAATAACATCAGAAATGGATTACTCAGGTAAAATTACCCCTAGTCACCTACTACAACTGACCCCATATCTCTCATAGTTTAGAAGTTACACAGATTTCAACCTGTTACGGGATATCTTTTGGATTCTTTACTCTCAGTATGGCTTGTTTTGAATACTAGATGCATATTGAATATTGAATTCCTTTGTGTTGTATTGAATTCCTTTATTGGCACATAGTGCATATTGAATTCCTTTGTAGGTGCACATGCATTCCTTTGTAGTAGGACCTTGTAGGCTAGCTAAATTCCCTCAAGGCAGTGCTCTCACCAGCCAATATCCCTCACCTGCATGTATTAGACTAGCTAAAATCACTCATTGGATCTTCTGGCCAGCTAAAATGCCTCAAAAGCCTGTACCCTGGGGCTAAAATCCCTCACATTTGTCTATATAAGGAGGCCTCTGCCTGCCAGTTGTTCCCTGCATCATCCCACCAGTGGACCAGATCATCTCAACCACCCTTACAGATTATATACAAGTGACAGTCATAACAATACATTATATTGAAATACAATCATAACACTTTCATCATCATAACAAGTGCCAAGTGCCCATAACCTGCCTCACATACCATTACTGGTTGAAGCATAGCGCTCCCAGAGCTCCAAGCCTTGGTTTTAAAGCTTTGAATAACAGCTTCATCAATATAATCATCACTCATTAACAACTTCAGACCTTATACACATCACTCGGAAGCTTCATCTTGAACTATCCTCTATCACGATAAATATAACTGCCAAGCTAAGCTTGGTGGTCTTGTTGTTCTGATAGCATAGAAGGGCAGAGCTTGCAACTCCACCATCCCCTTCTCCATTCAGCAAAAGGGTTTCACAACCACTTTTGAGTCTTACACCGGGAGGGCCTATACATAGCACCTATGACTGTGAAAGGACCTTCTCCTATTTCCCCCGATCCCCCCAAGACCATGTTTGATGTGATCACAAAACCAAGCACCAGTGGGAAGTGAAGGGTCGCAAGGGTTGATTGGATTAAAATTGTCTTACTTTCGTTAAGATCAACTTGTTTTCTGTTTTATTTGGCTTTCATTGTTTGTTTGCTATCTATATTTCATCATTGATCACATCGATCACATAGATAGAACAAGCAAGGGCAACAAATCGATATATCAATAGACTAGTGAGATAAAAATTAAACATACTACAATCAATCTCAAGAGAAACAATGATGGAGAACTACAATCAAACAGAAACAATGATTGATCACAAGAAGGAAAGGAAAACGATCAATCAATAGCAACTATGATTGATCACAACAAGGAAAGAAAACCAATCAATCATAGTAACTATGAGTGATTGCAAGAGGAAAAAAAGGAAAGACTATTGGTTGTGGAAAGACAATCGGTCGTCAGGAAAGACGATTGGTATGTCTTTGATTTTCTGCATTGATGCATGATTGGGATACGGGGGATATGTGTTGTGTAGGGGGGGGGGGGTGGATATCACAGGTCTTGTGTGTGATATGGGAGATAGGCACTTGGTGTCGAGTGCCTATGCACTCCTAAATTTAGGTTGACTGTAGGCCCTGAGATGGTTTTTCCAAATGTAGGACCTCATTTAGGACCGACCTCCGGTGGAAGGGCTAAATGGGGTTTGGGGGACTAAATTGGGTGTAGTCCCGCGATTTAGTCCCCCCGGTGGAGATGGTCTTAGACATACCATCCTCAAGAAATCTCCTTAGCCACACCTTTTTCCTTAAGAGTCCATACTCTTATGTTTTCTTGTTATCAGAGAGGCAGCCCATTAAAGCATCCATCCCTCTCAAGCTCTATTCCTCCCAAGAGTAGTTCCACAAGTGGTGTCCCAACAGTGGCCCAGAAGATCTTTTGGTTTGAGTCACTACCACTTATAGTTTCTATGCTAAATATACAGTCACAGATTAGCTAGTTACTATCATCCATTTTTTTAGAATTTAAATACCTTATTATTCCCTGCAGAAATCTTCATTGGTAAATCTGCATTAACAACATATCATTAGATCATCAGCAAATATTATAATAACATTAGAAAACTTAACAACCCCCTCACCCCCATCAAAGAAGAAAAACAACCCCCAGAACCCTCATCAGAATAAACATGGCCAAAGAATCCCTACCACCCTTTGGAGGACATAGAATCAACCCTGGAATAAACGGAAAACAGATTAACATCCTTGGACACAATAACTCTACCCCACACTACCTCAATAGTGAACCAGAAATTCCCAAGTACTCTGGAGGAAGAAGGAAGATAGTCAAAATCAAACCCTTGGACAAGAACCTTTGTTTTGATGGCTCCAACATGCCCATAGAAGAATTCATCAGCAAATATGAAGAAGCTGCAGAAACTGTTGGAGCAAGCTCTCAAGATTTGGCCAACCAGATATTGCCCTTTATCAGAGGACCAGACCTGCAAGATGAAGTGGAGGAGATGTATGGATATGAAAACAGCAATTGGAAAAACTTTAAGGAAGAATTAATGGGAAGATTTTCAATAAAACTCACCCTGGAAGAATGTGCTAGAGAGGAATTGGTAGATTTGGTCAGCTATGTTGCAAACATGGGTGGCATCAGCACTCCAGAACTATTTGGACAATTCATATTACAAGTTGAACACATTGCTCACCACCTAATCATGAATGGATACAATTCCCACATGGATGAATTTTCAAACTTATTTTGGCAATCCCTCAGCCCAAATTTGGAAAAAGCCATATCTGATCCACTTATCTGGGATGGTCACTTGGTTTTGGATGAAAATTGTCACATTGCAGAACTACCATCCTATAATATCATTTTGGAGTATATTGGTATGGAGTTTGAGAAAATGGATGTTCTTCAAGAAATACCTGATCAACCTGAACAAAAAATTGACCAAACCCATCAGAATTACTATAAAGTAAACCACATGGAAGAATATAGCTCAGAAATCCAGTCACCTCTTACAGAAAAGTTTCCCCCAGTACCTTCTTCAACTTTGGGTTCCTGCCCCCTGATCCTGGAAAATGACCCTTCCCTGGAACAATTGGAAAAAGAAGAAACCAAAGACTTTGGATCAGAAATAGAAATCTTACCAGCAAAAATTCCTCCTGGAACATTCTCACCATGTGCCTTGATAGAAGAAAATTGCCCCCCAGTAATATCAGTAACCTTGGAATTTTCCCCCCTGATCTCTCAAAATTGTGAAGAATTGGAACCCTTGGACAATGAGGAAAAAGAAAATCCTGGACCAGAAATTGCCACCTGTGAAGAAATTAGACCTACAGAAGAGACTCTACCAGTAGAAGAAATCCCAGGAAGTCTTGGAAATCTATTACGTGTGAACCTTGAGGAAAAACTTGGAGAAAAGGTAAATGAAGAAATTTTTACCAATGTCTTGACCCCAGTGGATGTACCATCCTCAAGCCCAATAGTATCACATCAGTTGCCTACCAAGAATTCATCAGCTCTTATAACTGAAAATACTGGAGTTGCAGATAGACCCAGCTCAGAAGTTGCACAATTTGGGTCACCAGAAATTTGCAACAAGACAAAAATGAATTTGAAAGCTTTTGAGAAAAATAAATTTTATTTTTTATTTTTCACAAATTTTGAAACTTTGTTTTTTGTTTTTATTTTTTCATATTCATTCTCCGGGACCTATTCTGCACCACTTCACCAATTCTTGTGACTTCAAGTTTGTGCTTTGAAGCTCTGGAATCCAAAACAAGCAGCCAAAAATAACGGTCCACCCACTGTACATAAAATTAAAATAATAAAATATATTATTTAAATAAGTGGAAACACTATAATAGAGACATTATTACACAGTACACTTACTTTGTAATATTCCATGAGAAAAATATTTAAAATAATGAAAAATACCATTTTTAACCAGAATCTCCTAATAACTTCTGAACCTTAAGTATAATGTAGAATATTATTGCAGATTCTGAATCTACATGCAAAATAACCTAGGGTAGCTCACCAAGTGTACCCCTGAATTATTACTCCTTCACTTACTTTGTAGTCCTTGAGTGATATTGGACCAAAATACACTGTAGACCCCTCCAGTTACATCATACTACATGTTGTAAGGGGGCTACATGTGTAATTAAGGTTTATGCAGTTCAGGAAAAATCTACAAACAAGGTTTACATTGAAACCTTAACTACATGAGCACAGACTACAGTATTAAATTGTTTGGGATGATCTGTGGCCCTTTTTGGCCCAATTGGGACAATTACTCTCTTGAGGATCAACCCATGCATCATGCAGTGCTGACATAGGCTACAGGAATGTTACAGTTTCTTCAGAACACCCTGTAAACATGGTTAAATGCCTTACATCATCTCCTTGACACCTGTAACCAAGCTCTACAGGTGCTACAGATGATCAAAAGCTCCCATAGGCTTAGTAGGAGAGTTGTAGCAACTAGAGAGACTCCTGAGTTCGCCTCCAGAGGACCAGAATGGGTATTTAAGAGCCCCTTCTCCCTCCTGAACTTGGATTCCCCATCTTCATCATTACTTACCAGCATAAACCGTCACCAACAACCAGTTTCAACCTGTCTTTTGGCCCAGTTCCTGCTGTTTTTAACCTGAATTTCAACCTTCCAACTCAACACCTGTTCCCCAGCACTCTTCCTACATCTCTCACCCACCTTTCTGAGCGCCTAAAGAACAGTTCCCCCCTCCTGAAGACCTCCTTGGCTTAGAGATAAGTACTAGTAAGTATTATTTCTCTGTATCTTCAGTTGTAGGCTATTGCTGGGCATACTCCTTTATTACAAAGGACCAGAACATCAGTACCACCCCTGTAACCCAGGACCTGATATTAGAGGGCACCATAAAAACCCCTGTAACTCAGGCCCCTCTGTAAATAAAAACTATTAAGTTTTTATTTACTATTTCTTTTATTACCCAAACTTCCCCCACTTTTCACATGTCACCCACATGTGTACATATCCTATTATACCTTTGCACCTAGTCTAGCTAGAAGAGTTTTGGCTCTTGGAATCACTGAGGCTGACAACTCTCATCTCCAAAACTCCCGTGATTCAGCACTTCCCTTCCTTTGACTCAATCACCAACAGACCACTTGATTTCCATTCTCTCCAAAATATTGCCAAACATCAAGAAAGCCTTCTGGTCTTTAATCTTAGCAGTTTTGTGAGCCTGGTTCTCAAAAGTGACAGCAGGACACAAGGGTTGGGGGGTGATTCTAGATGTATTTCAAAGGGATAATCACATCATGCGTAACCGATACGCAGATATTAATATTTCATTATGTATTTCTGCTCTACTTATTGTTTCCAGATTCCGTCAGGCCTACTTGTATTTGTTCACTGCACGCAGTAATGAAAGGAGCCCTCATCAGCAAAAGAAAATTTGGCTTTGCTGAATTCTCAGTGAACTCGTGTGTTTAGAAAGTGAAGTGAGCTCAAGTTTGATTTCCATGGGCTTGACGGCCTCTATGTATAGGCATTGGCAAGCTCAATGGCAAGTAAAACAAGTGCAATCAATTCAAGATGTTTTCATAAGGGAGAGCTTTGTATGACCAGCGAGTTGGCCTCACTTGTTCAAGACCTGGATCCGAGTATCCCTTTTCAAGTGTTGCTCGGCCAGGAGCAACTTGTACCCAGCCAGCAATTTTGTTTGCCGGGAGGGTGTAAAGTGGGCCCCATTAACAACAATCCTACACAATCACATTCCAGCGAGCAGGCAAAAGTTATATGCACTTGCTCCGAGTGAGATTCCATGAACCTGTACATTGAACATCGCCGGGGAGTGTTATTCACCGGCAAGTGAGTACATCCCTGGAGGCCAGCTTGGAAGTGGCAAGTCTAAGTGTTGTGAATGCAAATCAGACTTTTCATTACTCCTCAATGGGGTAATGAGGATCCACCTTAGAATTATACACATGGCTTCTACTTATTGCTTCCAGATTCGCCCACCGGCTCTGACCGCTCATCAAGGGAAATGCACACTACTATCGATGGCCAATCAGAGCCGGCCATCACGCTGGTGGGTCATCAATAAGGCGCCACATTTGCGAACGGCTCTAAGCGGTCATCGACAGAAGCACCCCGTGGGCTTGCGTAACTGACCATAACGTTCATGAATTTCTTCTCAAGATTAGAATCTTGTGCAACAAAAAAATCAACATTGGCCTTGACATCTAAGGTCCACAGGTTCTGACAAAATCGTGATGAGTAATGGAGCTTTTTGAGATAAACAGACAGGACAAGTCAAATGAATAGGAGCTAAAGAAGGACACGGAAAGCCAAAATAATGATTGCGAGCCCGAGCTTCGGAAATCGCTCAGGCCGCACCGTCCTTTGAGCTTTGGCCCTTGAGGTTATCGCTGTTTGACCGAAAGGAGGGTTAGAAAAGGTAAAAGACCGGCAGAGGAAGAAGAACGAAATTTGTTGACGTACAAATCCCAAGAGACTTCCTTTATTTTGTGCTGATTCTTCTCCTCGGCAGTCGGATTCAGTGCCCGGAAAAGCTGGCGGAAGAAATCATCACGAGTCAGTCAATTTGCTGTGCATTGGTTTGTGCCAATCAAACTGTTTACTTACATTTGGGCCAACCGCAAGGTTGAAGCAAGCTGCATCTTCCGTGACTTTTCCGAAATCACAGCCTACCAACAAACGGAATTGATGATTAACTTGACCGATAGCAATCCGACGTAATTACTTGCAGAGACCATCCCGGAAGTGATTGACTTACCTCCAACGACCCTGGCGAAAATGACAGTGCCAGGTTGACCCCGCCTTTGGATGTAACTGAAGTTCAGGTTGGATGGAGCATCTGGGTTAGTTGTTGAAACGATTTTCTTGAATAGAGTGAATCCTCACATACACTTTTTTTCCGCAGTTACGGTGGTTATTGCTGGTATAGCCAAGGGAGAATTGTTAGTATGTGGGTTGGCACACATTTTTTTAGCTCGTTTAACGTACTCGTCAACCCAACCACTGCTACCCTTTCCAGATCCTGCCCAGAGGCACACGCCGTAGTTCCAGGACGGATCGAGTTTACCTGAAGGCCTAGGACATTTCTGAAAGTGCATCCAACTGCATATCAGACTACGGTTTGGTTTGATCGGGGTGGTGAGTTCTGGTAGTCGGAAACAAACTTACATAAGCCATGTTGGCGCGCGTAACGATCTGCAGTAAGGAAAAGAAAATTGGAAGAAAACCAGTGTGAATTTCTCTCATTAAATGAGCAGCACCGAGATAAAAAATAAAAATTTGAGTGACAAACCGAAACCTCCTTGTAGTTGTCGTATCGGCGTTCCAAGGTGTGCTCCTCACTGCGCTTTTTCTTATTCTGCACTGTAAACTGGGGAGGGCACGCAGAGAGGGTGGATGGAATGTTACTAGCGTGCCAACGACTGAGCCAATCCAATAGTAGAAGATAAATGATCAACTTACGAGGCGGGTTTCTTGTAGTTCGTGGGACGCGCCCTTAGTGTCCTTACATCTATGGGCTTCAAATTGAGCAGCAGGAACGCATTGTTTGGATCCGCTGGTTTTGAAGAAGTAACTGTAGCATTGCGAGTTAGGTTGGCCAGCTGTTGTTAAGCCGGATAGTGCAAAGGCCACTAGTAGTACGGCAGTTGTAGTGACTTGCATGTTAGGAATGATTGGAGAGTGGAGGGGTGATAGCCAAAAGTATTTTTTGACGGTCAAATTTTGCGATGGATTGGAAGTCCCTGCCAAATGATGGGCTCCTCTTTATAGACTGCCGAAATGATCTTGTTTGCTACCGCCGCCGACCATTTTGAATCAGCCGACAGCCATGTCGTTTAGGTGATCCCCTACAGAACATATTGGGTGGGGGCAGTGGTCCATACAGCAGACAAACAATACCAACAGTTACCACAATTCTCGACCCCAAGCCACGTCCAATCGTCAATAACGCCGGCTGAAGAGGCTTACATATGTATATGTATGATATTCGGAATTGGGCGATGAGGAATGTACAGTACACAACCGCCATGGTTCTCAATTAGCACGAGCGGCCGACCATATAATGAGCCTAACACTTATGTAAATATGTGTGCCCGCTACACGGCTCCAGGCCTGCCGGGACCCATTGGACGACTGGAAGCCTCGTCTTGGCCTCAACGCCATCAAGGCCCACGGGCTCCCACGTGAGCCCGGCAATGACGGCAGCTTCCTTTTACATGGTACATAAGAACTTTGGTCTAGCCAAGGTCACACCATGTGGCTGATTACAGAGAGCTCAAGAGAGTTCTGCTTGGGGATACAGGTGCGTATAATTGAACATTATATTCATACCTATTCATACACATCCGAATTTTCTCTACAAACGCCATCGAACGCCGCTGTACCCATAGCCTATTCGGCTGCGACTCAGCCAGGATGAGGCATACTTCCCCTCCGGCCGGGCCAACCATACATAGCAATTCATACCATCACTCTATCCGGTGCTCTCATCCTACATAACACTTACATACCATTCCAAGAGTTTGTAGATCTTGTGGTCAGCAAATATTCAAGCACCTTGGCGGCTGACTTCTGTACCAGGGCCCTCTGAATCGAGGGACTTGTGTTAAGTCAACATGGCGGCTGGCTTGGAGCGTAAGGCAGATTCAGCCGGGTCCCCTGCATGGAAGACATGGAGGAATATTTCTTTAAATCCCGGCCTTTCTGGGAATAATGCAACTTTTGCTGAGTTCATATCAATAACAATGCTAGGGTGATTGCGAACAATCTGTCCAAATCAGCTTGATTAGTAATAGATGCTTATATGCCCGATGAAATAGGAAAATAGCTACTAGGCACGCAAGGCCGGTTCCATAGAAGTGCACAGTGCACTGGATTTCGGGAAAGTGTTTCATTTCAAACCCGAGTGTCATTAATTATTACTTCAAAAGAACGCACAAAAATAGCCGTATAAATTGACTTGGCAGTGCGATGGAAAATAACATGGGCTGATACTGATAGTGACAAACAAAGGAAATTCGGGTATGTAGATGTGTCTTTGAATGGAGGGCAACTCTTTTTAAGTGAATGGGTTTTTTTGAGGCAGGAGCGGATTGGGCAGCCACGGAACCATATTATAATTCAAGCGATACGACGCGCATGTCAGAATTAGCAGCTGATGAATCTACTTCTTGAATAAATGAACATGTCACAAAGACACCTACGACCATTACTTTGAAGTTGATCCGCCTTGAATCTTTTGGGAAAGGGCTTGATGAGATTTGGTATGTTCGCTACTTGTTTCATGGGCGCTATCCACAAGATTGATGCGTGGCCTGCCCGGATGGTTGGATGGGTGAGAGGTGACTACATACTTTGCCGACAGAGTCCGTATCACAATCGAGTCGTATTTTGTCCAAGCTTGTGCTAACTGGATTTGCGACCAGATCCCGAATTCCAGAGGGCCTGTTTTATGGCCTGGCTGAGAGCGGACACTGGCTCCGCTTCATATGACTGCGTAATCGACTGACAGCGAAATTTGTTTGGGATGCCCAAAAGGTCGGACACTCCTATCGTCTGATAACAAAACCGTGAGATATAGGGGTAAGTTGACTGTCCCAACTTGCGTGGCTATAACGGTCGAGGCTTCCGATCTCGGGCCAGCCGGGAGAAGATTTAGCGAGACTTGCCTAGTGCGTGCCAAGTAACAGATTTAAGTGAGTCAATCCGCGCTAGTTTTCCAAAGTTGGCTTTTGCGAGAATCGTGCGAGCAAGATCACGCTGTGAAGAATATCAGGCGGAGGTTTCGTTGCTAATTCGGCTATAGGGTTCACGCTTGAGAGGTATTCACCCGGAGGTTTCTCGCCGACTTGGCCGGGCGTGGATGGTGCGAAGCCTTCGGGTAAAGGTGAATGCGTAAGGGAGGATTCCGCGGAGTGTTCCCTTACAATTTCATTGGGAGAGACCATCGCCCCCATGTACTCATTCTACGTCAACATCAAGTATCTGAGGCAACTTAACGCGCCGCCAATCGACTTATATATGTACTCTGCTTGATGAGTGATTCTAGGGTACGCAACACCATTTCGGCCGAAGCAGTCGCTATCGCTACCCCATCCCAAGCATCTTCTGACAAAATGAGGGTGCCTTCCTGTTTTCGTCAGGTATACTGCGAGCATAACACAAGCCTCTCGAGTGAGAGCCCGAAGGGCAGCCCGCCCCTACGGTCGCGCAATGCGACATGCAGGTTTGAGGCCACTTCCACGCCTGCGAACTCAAACCCGCCCCCGCAAGAGCCGCCGTGGGGAATAGGACTTGGTTAAGTTCGGGTATACTGCTGTGATTGAAGTTCGTACCCTTATAGCCGGATGATGAGAGCGCGGCCGCAGCGGGGCCGAAGATATTGGCTGATTGAGCTTTAACCCTGCTGAATGTAAACTTCCTCGTCGACCGGGCAGTTCAAGTAGCCCCTGATCTCCAAGTCGAAATGATATACCGGCCAATTGTTTAATTGGGCCGCGATGGTCAATACTGGCAGAGCCTGAAGCATCCGTTCCCCCCCACGAGAGGACGGCCGATCAACAGTACTTCATCTGAACCGGGCGGATGCCGAAGTAATTGTCCCACAGACGCAATGCGCGGGCGGTCAAAGGCCCAAAGTGCCCTGTGGCTAGGCTAAGCGATTTCTTGCCCTCATAATGTTTGAAGAAGCGTTGAATGGAAGCTAGACATCCAGGCACCAATTCCCTACTGGTCCAGTTTGCTATACATAGTCCTGTCGGATGGCTGGCCGAGTGTCTAGTCGGTAATTTTGAAGAGATGGCTGGTGCAGGAACCCCTTCTCTGATTTACCCGGTTTCCCTACCAGACCAACCCGCATCCGCTTGTAACAACAGCCCGAGTTCACGTGTATAAATATGAAGCTGGTGAATCAATATTCTCCCTCTCCCCATCATCCACCGTCTCTGCTCTTTGGCCAAACAACCCTTTCTCCTCTCAATCTTCCCCATAATTATACCCTGAAGCAGATCACTGGTTGATCCTAGAGCTCTATCTCATCATGGTCTCACCTCGATTTCAACTTGTCATCGTGGCCTCAGCTGCTCAAATTCTCAGTTCATTTCAGTATGCACTTGCGCTGACTGATGACCCGTCACCAGACCAATTTTCGCGCTCCAGCATATCCGGCTTCACTCTTCCTTCCGGTTCAGAAAGTGAAAAGCCCTGGCCTTGTGAGTTGGCATTTCATTGGGCTTAATTTCTCTTTTGTTCCCAGCTGACTCTTCGAGGATTTCTAGTGGCTGGTTCCATGACTAGGGATGAAACAACATTTGACGATCAACCGGTTGCCGCATTTCCAATCTCAGGAGCTGGCAGGAAGACCAATTATACTCTAGTCGAACGTGGGCACGACCATCATGAAGGTGACACGCCAATCAAAAACTTACTCGGCCATGGAATGGGCTTAGGTATTCTCGGAGACTCAAATGAAGAAGATGACGATGCAGAATTTACCGGAGGCTGGGCAACGTACTTTACCCAAAATCAAATCGCAGGTTTGTGACTTCTCGGATGATCTGGAGGAAAACTAGAATGTCAACTAAAGCATTTCCTCCATTCTACGCATCTACTTAGGAGCATGCGGAAAGGTCCACCAAGATACCGATGTGATCGTGGCTCTGGATTATCGGCGGTATGGCGCGTTGAACAAAGTGTCGAAGTATTGTGGCAAGAAAGTCAGGATTACGAGCGGGGACAAAACGATTGAAGCGACAGTCGCGGATGCCTGTCCGACTTGCTTGAACCACAACTGCCTGGATCTGAGTGAAGGAGCATTCAAAAAGTTGGGCGTCACCGTTCAAGAAGGCATGAAGCCAATAACATGGAAGTTCATTGATTGAATTAAATTTAACAATCCAAGTTTCAACGTCTTGTAAAATCAAACCGTCCTGGCATCTTTTTCTTTAAAAATGAAATATTTATAATTTCAAGCAAGCACAACTTGTTAATAACAAATTAAGTTTATTTTGAGATCAGAGACTCGAGATGATGAAAGCAGGTCGCGGTATCCGGGTAAGACTTGTGGCCCCGCTAAATCAAGATGCAGACTCCTTGATCAGTGCGCAATCATGAGACCTTGTTGTTTGAAGCCATGGTTCCTAAGTTGTCTTTCGTCCTTAGTAACCTCGCAACTTTTTACTTTTTGTAATTCACAATCCAAGTGTCTTCTGGTCTCACGAGTTTTCTTATTTCTTAGTATTACATGGTTTTTCAATATAAATTTTATGGAAACAAAAATGCGGTAAGAAAAAAAGACACATCTTTCAAATTAACCCAGTGTTGATTCATAAGCTATTAGTAATACGTTGATAAAATACAATTAAGCAATAATAGCAGCCAGGCTGGCTAGAATCCCAAAGAGAGTGGCGGATAATGCTGAATTGGATGAGTCAGTAAGCCTGGACGCTGCTGACTATATGCATGAGAAAGAAATTGGTTATGTATGTATACTTAGCATTCAAATCTTCAAGCGATTTTTCAAAATTTGGGCTTATGTGGAGAAAAAGCTTTTGACGAACCCAATCATCCTCTTTCCCTTTCTTTTTTTCACCGCTTGGAGGTTTTACTACAGGATTCTTAGGGTCGGGTTTTTTGCTGGCTGGATCATCCTTTGGGGATGGTGGTTTTGCCTCAACCAATGGTGGGGGTGGGGATTTTTTCCCCTTCGGTTTAGGTTGAGTGTCTTCGGATGCAGCAGAATTCTTTCCTGTGGCTTCACCTGCTGGACCGCCATTCTTTCCTGGTGTATTTGGGTTTGTGGGCCCCGGAGGAGGCGTTAACTCATCTGGTTGTCCTGGGGGAACTGGTGGACCATCCAGTTTGCTATCCTTGTTTGGTTCCGGTTTGGCATCCTTGTTTGGAGGGCTAGGGGGAGCGTCTTCCTTGCCTGTGCCTATCTGTGGTTCAGGCTTTGGGACTGGAGGACCCGGTGTTTCCATTACAGGTTTAGTTTCTTTGCCTGGGGTCGTCGGGTCGGAAGGAGGTGGAGGAGGAGGCGATAGTTCAGCATTTGAGCCTCCTACTTCAGCTCCCGTGGGGCCCGTGGAAAGAGGTTTGTGGGCAACCAAAGAGTGGAAGTTCTGGATACATAAATTCCCCAGAGGTGAGGTCAGTGTTTCTTTCTTCAACTAGGTATGCCATGCAGTAAACAGGAGTTTGTTTACCTCTTCCGACTTGAAATCAGGGGCGTATTGCGGCCGAGAAAGTGATTCGCCGAGAAATGACAGAAGGCATCCAAGATTAATGAAACTGGATGAACGCATGATATTTAAGCTGAAGTTTCAATTTTTTGTATCAAAACCTGATTAATTTCTGATTAGCGATGGCGGGCTGAAGGCGACAATGCTGTTGTAATGGGTGCGTTTTTCCCTCGAAAGACATTGACTTTTTATAAGACGGACTCACAGCCGAAACTCACAATAACCAAGCATGCTGGTTGCTCCGCTGGCCAACGATTGGCCATCAGCATACTCAGTCGAAGGAGTTCTGACTAAACTTTCGGGCACTGGCACTGCACAACGCCAACCGATGCAAATTCTCGGGGTATCCCATCCAACGGTGGGCCCGGGGGGCGAGTCCTCTTCGCCTGGCCGGCGGCGACCAAGCGAAATCTCTTCGGCGAGTCCCTGTGAAAGAGCGGTCACTGGGTGCATCTTTCTCCGGGGCCATATGTCGTAGTATCACCTCCATGTATCCCCTTGCCGACATTCATACTAGCACTTGGCGAATCGTGACCTGCACCACCTTTGATGAACTTCATTTTCAGCCATAGCCTGGACTTGAGGTTGAACAAATACAAACATGAGAGGGCTTGGGTCGTTCGCGTGACTACCACTACAAGATCCTTCTCACACTTTGGCCACCATTATCAGACTACGTTATCATTCATTATACCCACCCTAGAGGATCTAGAGTTACGCTTCATGAAGGCCCTATTGCCAAAGCCATCACCTCATTTGGCCTTCAGGTAAGGTTTATTGACGCAACAAAATTCGATCCAATTGATAAATCTGAGGATACCATGAGTTCATCCATAGAAGTTAAACACATCATCATTTGGGATATGGATCCGGTCATGGGTAGGCTCAAAGTTTCTTTGGGTGCAACACAAATTGCTCAGTGTTCAAAGCAGCAACAAGCCTAGCAACATATAACTTGTAACCAATTCCCACTTAGGATGTATTTAGTAAGCTCTGATTTTGGTATGTACCCAGGCTTTGGGAACCAACCCGACCGAGCAGGCAACAGAATCAGGACATCCATGCAGCATGTGATGCGAGACTAACTTAAGCTATTCTTCTCGCAGTTTTGGTCAAGGCAATTTGAGAAGGTATGATATTTGATCTGCCACCAATCTGGAAGGCAACAACTCGGGTTTATAGACCATTAAAATAAATTAGGGCTATTGTAAGGATAATTGAGATCTTTGGGATATGTCTTGAAGAAAACAAATCATAAAATCAAAATTTGTTGCCATCATGTAATTGGAAGATAAAAAAATTTAATACAAACCGTAGTGGAAAAATTCTGCAAAGCTAGCAGAGGACTTCCTGTCAAATGTGGGGTCTTTGAAAACCTTGGTTTAGGGAAAGTCTAGGTACCCTCAGAGAAATCCAACTTTCAATGTGCTAAATTGATTCTAACCAGCCCACAAAGTCCTCTTGTGAGTTGATTGATTTCTGTTTGGATCAAAGGGGATCAATGATGATTGGTGAGTTCCAAGAAAGAACCTTAATTTGGGCCCCAATGTTTCTTCTGTCGTCTTGTATTTACAGGTTTCTGATTTCAATAAAATTTCATTACTCAAAAGGTCCTTCGACTTGATTCTTTGCCAATGTTTTCTACCCATGCTGATCAATACTTCTATGGTTTCACTTCCAAAATGATTGTATCAGATTGCTACATCTGGCATTACATCAGATAAATATATCTGATATTACATGAGGAAAAACTGGGATTGTATCTACCAGAATTGATATTAAATCTACCTAAAATGATATTGTGTCTATCATGAAAGATATTAAATCAGACCAACCTATTCAATGTCAACATAACTGAATTTACATCAAATTTTTCTATCTGATTTAATGGCCATGGGCTAAAAATTTGTATCAGATGTAAAAATATGATATAAAATCAGTTATGTTAATATTAAATAGGTTGGGCTGATGCAATATCTGTTATGATAGATTTAACATAATTTTAGGTAGATATAATATCACTCCTGATAGATATAATACCAGTTTTGCCTGATGTAAAATCAGATTTTTCATCTGATGTAATGTCAGATGTGGGAATCTGATATAATCACATTTGCAGTGTTTGAAGCATACTCCAAAGCTTCCCATGTGAAACGGGGTTCACAAGCTTCCTAATCACAGATTATTTAATTGACAGTATATATTCATTTCTTCCTTGCCATTCCCTGGCTCAGTGGAGATTGCTGTCTTGTAATCTTTCTCTCTGAGCTAGGTCAACCCCCCCCATCTCTCTTCCCTCCATTACATTTTAGGGGGTTGGAAAAACGACTCCCAAATTTTTGCCAACGACTCCCGTTTTGGTCGAGGGGTCGTCGGCTGGGAGTCGTTCTTCCAAAAGATGGCCGACTTTGGGAGTCGGCCATCAAATGTTTTTTTTTATTTTTTTAATTTATTTTTGGGGAGTCGGCGCCCCAAACCGCCCCTCATGCTTGAGGGGGTTTGGGAGTCGTCGCTCCCGCTCCCATGACCGGAAGGATTTCCTCCTTCCGGTTGACAAGAAAAAAAAGTCTCATCGACCGGAAAGGATTCCTTCCGGTCGATGAGGTAAAACACCCTCATCGACCGGAAGGAATCCCTTCCGGTCGATGAGGTTGTTATACCTCATCGGCCGGAAGGGATTCCTTCCGTCGATGAGGTATAACACCCTCATTGACGGAAGGGATTCCTTCCGTCGATGAGGTATAACACCCTCATTGACGGAAGGGATCCTTCCGTCGATGAGGT